TTTGACATTGATGTATTTAAATCAATAAAATCCTGTGTTCAATATGAAAATTTGGAGCAAGTAAACAAAATTTGAAAATGAATGTTATATGGATTTGAAGACAAGAAAGATATTGTTGATTAAAAGCAAATATAAATAAGGTGTGCTTAATAGATTTGACATGATAAAATTGTAAGCACTTTAAATTCTTTTGGCATCATATTTCAATTTTTTTAAAAAAATATCTCATTAGTGCTATGAAGGAAAATAATATTGTCAATATTGAATGACAAGTCAGTAACAACTTCATGATTTGGATGCAATGTACTTAACATGATATTGCTTTATCTATGGCTAATGTGTGTAATTACATGTCAAATATAGAATTGTTGCATTGAAAAGCTATCAAGTTGATTTTTTATAAAAGCATTGCAATGTGCACCATGTAAGTATGGTTAAAGTTGGTAACATCTGTAATGTTAACAAATTTGTTACTTTGTTATGTAAAATTTATAGAATATGAGTAATATTTTGAGTAAAAAAAATTGATTTTGGAATTATTTTCATGGAAAGGAAAAATATATTTTTTGTGTAGCCCAGATATATTTGCATATCTCAAAAACTATATATTTGGAGCAACAAAATTTTTAAATTCTTTATAGATAGTACTTTTTCACTTTTTAAGTTAATTCATCTTCATGATCTTAATTTGTACTATTGGTATAATTTGTCCTATTGATAACTGTAATTCACATACAATTAACAGACAAAACCCACAAAATTTTTTGAAGAAGTGAATGATCATCGTGTAATTGTTAGACGTTTTCAATTTTTTTCTGCTTGCTGTAGATTCATAAAATTTCCATAATTCAAAAAAATCCAATTAAAACTTTGTGATCATTATTCTACTTGAAGATTTTTACATCTCTAGTATTACTCTAAATCTTCTCAAGGTTATGCAGAATAATATTTTGCTCATACTCGTTCACCATCAAAACATGATTTGTTATTTGTTGTGCTCAACTCTCATCCATCAAATACCTAACCGTTCATCAGTGTGGAACACTCCATTCTCATCTTCACCATTCAAACCCGTGATCATTCACATTATCAAACCCAGATCCCGACAACTATGAAATTTCAGAGTTCGAACTTCCACCATGCCTTATAACAACACTTCCGGATTGTTCATTTCACCCTAAAGATGATGGGGCATTTGTCCAATTTTTTGGGAGAGATTTGCTTGATGGTACCCCTTCGGAAAGTAATTTACTTGATGGGAACCCTCAGGTTTTGTTTTACCCGATGTGACCCTAACGACGGTGTGCCGTCAGACATAGTTCTTGTAACTACGATTACTACTAGCTACAATGCGGGGATTACAATCAGAGATCAATCCCTGATTATAATTTCTGGTGGATTATCACAGAGACAAAGATCGACTTTGCTCGAAGTGCAATTTGTTGTGCTTCAATTCTTCGTGGATTTCTCTGTTGCCTCCCACCTGCACTCTCCTTCCGTAACCCTGCGTATGCGACGAGAAGCTCATACCGGAAAGTGGTATGAGCTCAAGTCTCGCGATCACCAAAATCTGGTGAACAAATAAACTCCGGATGAACATTTTGCTCGTCTCCTGGGTGAATGGTCGGATACAGAATGACAACATAAAAACAAGTGAGTGTGATGGAGCGCAAAGTACACTCTGTCCGCGGGTGCGATTGACTCGTTGCACTCTCTCTAGTTGTTATAAGAACATGGGTAACGGTGCATCTTTCATGGGGTACCATCGTGTAAAATGAAACCTGAAGGTTCACATCAAGCAAATTAATCTTCTCAAGGGTACCATCAAGCAAATCTCTCAATTTTTTGGTGCGGATCTATCATAAATCTAGGTACGTTGTTTGCTACTCCCTTATGTAACTAGAGGTAAACGTCTTCATCCGAGAGGACAAGCCTTTTCAAACACGGGCATCCGCAGACGTAATCACACATGTCCTGGCGAAAGGGTTGGAGAGGAACCCCCAGGCCTAAGCGTTCATAACAGATTCAAACTCTCCAAACAAAATAAAGGAACAATTTCGGCTCCTAGTACAGAGCACGAGATCTAATCATTATATTCCGACTCTTTATGCATCATATATACTCGTTAGGTCCAATCACATGTTGACCTTCGGGTTCAAAGTGGTTCAGGAATCAAGACTATGGCATAGGCCGTGACATCCGTCTTAGGCAACCTACGGGTTTGCATAATAGAATACTTCCGGAAAGTCATAATCGTCGAGGGATAAGGATCGCCATCTGGAATCGGAACCGTGTGTTGGAAGCTGAGCCCCAGCCCCAGGATCCAGACAGAGAAAGAAGGCGAGAGCGCAGCGCATTCACAACCACGTAAGCGCGTGTCTTCCGAACCAAGTCAACATAACACCGCAGAACACAACCGGCTGGGAAATGTGGTGACGACTGACCGCGAAAGATAATGGTCAAGTTCAGCGGCTCCGTTGGCACGTACGAATGGGTCTGCGAGATCGACGGCATGCTGTTGCCAACATAGTGTCCGAAGTACAGTTGTGTAAGAACCGGAGTTAGAAACAACGTGGTAAAGGGCGGAGGGAAGTCAATGTACAGCGACCGGAGGAGACGTACATGGTTCGAGGGATGTGCAGACATCTGTGAGCAGGAGTGACGTACGTGAGCGGCCTTTGCCATCATGAAATGGATTGTCACCGAGAACTCTGTGGTTCTTCTCTTTCCGTCAAAGGGCGGAGGAAAGCAACATATGTGGCCATGAGACGGACGGCCCTACTTTCCCTCCGTTTCTTTCTCTTTATCGACACTAAATTGATGCTTGTTCCCAAGAGTCGGGCCCCCGAAATCACTCTTCTGCAACAGCCGAGCAGGATTTGACATGATTAGCGTTTTGGCGGGTCTTGCGAACATGTTCTTCCAACAATTTGACGGAGGGAGGTCCTCTGTCATCCCAGTAGTACACGTGTTCGACCTTCGACTATTCTGCCCTCCGTCCGATGGTGGAAAATATGTGGCTCAGACTGGCACTCTCCTACTCCTCCAATACTGCCTTCTTCTTATCGACGCACGCACGTCCTCTTGAGTGTGTCCGAAGAGGAACGCCTCGCCTCATTCACTCACTTCGAATTCCGCCTCAACAGTCGACGAGACCGACTGTTTCGTCTCCTTCATTTGTGGCTCACAACATTCCCCTTTTGCTTCATTCACCCTCATGCGTCCAAAGGACATTTGCGCCTATTGGCCGGTGCAGATAGCACCTTCCACCCGACGGTCGTTGGCTTGGGCCCTGGGCCCGGGCCAGCAACAAAACCTTGTACATCTATTCGCCAAGCAAGTCGTGCTTTGCTTTGAAAATGCTCTCCTTCTCCATAGTATCAACACTTTCATTCGAATTTAGGGATGTGCGCGATCAGCGGTATGTGATCTCCGAGAGAAGTGGAGCTCAGACGATAAAACCACTGGGTTATCTATCTTCGAGTTGACACGATACGCCTGAAAACAATTGACCTTGGATCTATCGTTTGAGTACTTACTCGCATTTCCGTGATGTTATGTATCCAAGTCCAGTTCGAAGCTTGGATGTATTTTTATAAGAAGTTATAAAGTATTGTTTTGATCCAAACATTAACATTGTTTTCATAAAAATTTTTCTCACTTAAGTTGATATCTTCATTGTATTTCAATGAACTGAATATTCAAGATATGGAGATTTTGTTTTCCCCATCCTGAGTTTCTTTCCACATCTTTGCAATTATCATTGATTTAATTTTGGTAATCATATCCGCATGAAGTTTTTTACATCCAGTCCTATAACGAACATACGGTATGCTACATACCCCATCATATATTTGTAAATAAACTGACCCTTGTACAATAGAAGAGTATGATCAAATCCGTGCCTCCAGTTGAAACGACAGGAAACTCAAATTGCTTCATTCATCATAGCACAACAGATTTTTCTCAGGCAGTTTAGATGTGGCTGCTCTGACCAAACCAGACCAGACCAGACCAGGCCAGGCGGGTCAAGACTCACGCCCTGGTGGCACTAATGGCCCTTGAATCATGGTTACTTCCGCCATGGGATGCCGTCATCACGCCTGCCTTTCATCTGATGCGGGGCAGGGAGGCACACTCTGGCTGGAAGGTCTCTCTGTATGCATCGATCGCGGTCCGAGTATAAAATAATTCCGAGCTGATGACATGGACAGGATATAATCTCGGATGGTTTGTGGAATGTTGTACTGTTCTGTACCAGGTAGAGTTTCCTTCGTGCCGCCTACATGACTGTAGTCACAAACCAGGAGATGCATGGATGGAAGTCAACTATGGAACGGATTTGCAATTGGGCAGGGCGGGCACCCCCCTGCCCCGCCCCATCCCATGAGCCGCGATGGCATGTGATGGTCTCGCCTGGCCGGTCCCGGCCGTGGGGGATGAGCGAGCGCTGTGCATCGATCGCTGCACGGTGCGCTCTCCGCTCCACCGGTCACCGAAAGCGCTCGCGAGCTCCTTCGGCCGCCGGCCTCGTCACCAAATTCGACCGTCGACAGCGACGGGCGATGCGTGGATTTCCGCGGAGGCGGAGGCGGACGGAACCTCGGCTGGCCCAATAGGACGAACTGACCTCGCGTCAAACCAGGGTGGGACCCACGGGGTCGCGATCCGGCCAGTGGGCGGGACTCGACTCGACGCGACGCGAGGTCATAGGGCTGGCCGGATGGATCGAAGCGAAAGCGTGACGGGCGAGAGGCGAGGCCCGCGACGTCGTCCGGGAAGGAGTCGACGGGACGGGACGGCGACCACGACAGAGGAGGCGAAAGGAAGGAAGGCAGGCTGGCCGGATGGATGGGGAGGGGGCGACATGGCATGACATGTGATGGGGCCCCGGCGGACGGGCGCTACCCTAGGGTATGACGAGGCGGAGCCCCGTTTGGCTCGTTCGTCCCACGACAGGAGTTAACGCGGCGTGTCAGTCGTGAGGAGGGGAGGTCGTGCTTTCGTTGAGGGAGCGAGAGGGAGCCCTGCTTCTCGTTGCGTCTGCCTTGGCTTGTGGGAGCGAGCGAGCGAGCTCGGTTGCTTGCGCATGTGAAGGGTGGTAGGCTCGGGCCTGGGGACAAGCGGCCTTTTTCTTCTCCTCGCTGTTCCGGAGCAGAGGAGCGCGAGCGGTCAATCGCTTGCTTATCAGCTTGTTATCACCCTCAATTCAGTCTCTCTGCCGTCCCCGATATATGTAGTGCTTGGTGTGCAGTCAAAAGTGTGTTAGGCTCCGCTTCCGCCTTGCCGTGCCTGCTCGCGCTTTTTCTTGGAAGCGGTGGGCGCAATTCGGGAGAGGCGCGGGGCGGAGTTCGTTCGGGCTCGGGAGATCGACAGGTGTAGGTGTCGTCGCTGCTGCGGATTTGTTCGTGTTCTTCGAGAGCTGTGCGGCGATCGGAGTTTCTTTCGTCTTGCTGTGCGGGATCAGCGCAATGGTAAGTGTCAGAACCCCCGATCTTGCCTCGATGGCCCCGTTGTTGGTTTCCGCCGATTTGTTGGCGTCGTGGGCCTGGTCATGCGTCCAGGCCTTGCACATCAGCCCTGTGCGTGCGGCTGATCGTCGTTTGTTCGTCATTCAGGCGAACGCCGCGTCGGGAATGGCTGTTAGTGACGAGTGCAAACTGAAGTTTATGGAACTGAAGAGGAAGAAAACTTATCGGTACATTATATTTAAAATCGACGAGAAAGCGCAACAGATTGTTGTGGAGAAGGCCGGAGGACCCGACGAAAGCTACGACGCTTTTGCTGCTTGCCTTCCAGAGAGTGACTGTAGATACGGAGTGTATGACTTCGATTTCACCACCGAGGACAACTGCCAGAAGAGCAAGATCTTCTTCATTGCCTGGTATGTGTTTTCAAGATTCCGAGATCCCTTCATCTTTAGACGTGACCATCTTGATATGGGCTTCATTTCGAACTCTTTGTACGTTTTAGCTGGCGGTGCCGGCCCAGGTTCATGACCACCGAGTTGCCTTTCAGGTCACCCGACACCTCACGAGTGAAGGCAAAGATGATGTACGCAAGCTCCAAGGACAGGTTCAGGAGGGAGCTCGATGGTGTTCACTATGAGCTGCAGGCTACTGATCCTACTGAGATGGACATTGAAGTCATCAAGGAACGGGCCAACTAAACTGGATGGCCATCTGTATTTCGGGTCGGCGAATGGGAGTTTGTGTACTAAGTTGCACCATAACCGAATTTTTCTCCTTCCTCCCAAGTGAGGCAGTACATGTTCTACTCTGTGATTCGACAGTACATGTTGCTTGGGAAGATAGCGTGCAGATGCATCCGTTTGCAATTTGCGTAGTTTGAATATGTAGCCATGCGAGTTATTCAGGTAGGGTTGGATACGCATGTGCTGTGCCTCGATTTTTGCAGCAAAGTCAAACCAATACATTGTATTGGGCACTGGATGTTGCGAGAAACGTTTCACAAGATTGTCACAGATCGATGAAAAGGTTGCGAGGGAAATGCCTCTGAACTCATTTGGAAAATTATGCAGTTTCTAGAGCACCCCACGAAGTACCAAACCGATTAAAATTTTCCTCCTCACATTCGTTTAGTTTGCAGTACAAATCTTCCTATGTAGGTCGATGACAGTCACACGGACATTTGAGAATTGGTGAGCTTTGACTTGACCTGGTTACACCTTCTGACCATGTTTCTGTATACTCACCACGTGAGGCTTTTTGACCGCTATGAATATATTAACTTGGATGTCTTTGACTATCAATTGTGGCGATGATGAACGGGGGAGTACCTCTCATATCTCAACGTCTTGGTCGAAGTATAAGAAGGTTTTTTACAGGCCTGCTGGATTCGACACCTCTACACAATGCTCTACAGTATCTTGATGATTTGGATTAGACTCTCCTCGGTTTCACTCTTGGCGGCCTCCTCGTTTCGTTTAGGACAGCAGGTATGCTGCCTTAGATTGGTCTCGTGAGGTAAACTCAATTTTTGTCAGGCGCATTTCGTTCTCCACACCAGGCTTGATCACAACGTCATCGGTCATTAAGGATACTTAGTGCTCTCCATGTGATATTGGTTGTGGTCTGGACTTATTGTAAAAGGTAGAATGCCTCCTCATCTAGCTTCACAGCTTTAATGTAGCCCTGGACCGAGCAATCATGTGGAAACTTGTGGAGTACTTCAATTGTTGAAGCTATTACGCCTTTTGCCAAAGGTGCAGACGATGGCATCTCTATATGCTCAGTGCATTACGCTTTTTTGGAATGTATACACAGTTCCATGTACAAACCTTCTTTGCTCTACGGAAGTAAAACCTGCTTGAAGAGGGCGATGTTGAGAATATTATCCTGATCTGGACTCGGTTCTGCAGGTCTGTCGTACACCTTGAGTTTAGGATATTGAATCTTGGCTCCGATCATGCCTCCTTGTCTCTTAGTGACTTGTAATTATTGCCATGTTTCGAATGCCCGAACGTCTCCTTCGCTATGTTATCTCGGCTGTACGCTCACTTTGTTTTTGTGATTGTTTCACAATCCAAGAGGTTTGGTTCTCCCGGCAAAATCCATCACATTGAAATATCTCGTATCTTATCTTCACTTGCCCTTGACTGGACTTGCCAATCTTTAGGAAGAGTTGCACTCTCTTGATTTTTAATCTTACGTATTCCCGGATCGGTCTCCGGAGTTATGATCTATACCTTCCGGACTACTAGGACATCACCGCTTCATAGATCGGAGCAACCTGCATCCCTTTTCGGCGAGGTCCCTAGAGGGTCACTTTATCGTCCGACAGAAAAGTAATTGTTTGAACGAAGTCCGAAACTTGGAAACGCAGAGAGATGCGTTCTACCTATGGTTGTGACAAGGTTTTTCAATGACATTATTCTGTACCCAAGACGACGAGTGAAAGTGGGCACAGCGGGATAGTTGTTGAGGTAATGTTTTGAGTCCTTTAGCACGCTGGCAGCCACAATGAACCTGGATCGAGTCAACCTCATGCTCGTGACAAACTTCGCACATGTGGCCCAAGTAACGAACTCGAACAGAATCGGAGGCGGAACCAGACGCGGAAAGCGGGAGAATCTGAAGCTGAAGTATAATGCTCTTCTAGGTGATCATCAACCCTCAGGGAATCTGTTATATGCTGGGAGTTCATCTAATAAGCGCAAACGACAGATGGGGTTGGAGAATCTGACTCCGCAATAAAGGGAAGTTTGGAGAGAGTTTGAAGTTTGCCAGAGATAATGTTTAATCTCTGCAGACCGCTCTAGATGGATATACATTCGAAGTGAACGGCTGAGGACCAATGACACAGGTGGATGGGGCTAGACGGTGTGCCGGGAACTCTCTTTACGAGAATTACCCTGCCGCTGCACCTGTTCCCATTCTCTACCAAACCTACACATGATCCGTGAAGCACGCAACATGCCATCCGCTTCACGCCTTCAATGTTCACAAGAGTATGTGGTAACAATGCTGATGCAAGGGCGAAGACACTAAACAGGTCGTGTAATTGCATGATTTTACGTCGAAGGAATACTTAACGAACTTAGGAAATTTGGAGTCTGGGTGCTTCTACTTCCAACATTTACATCGGTGATCAACGACGCATGCGCAGATTTGTTGGCTGGGTTCGGGACAGCTTCCATACAACTTCGGGATCATGGGCACATAGGAACTCTTCTTGTCAGGGGTGTGACGAGATCGTCAGAATCACAACTCGCCTGTATGGACCGGAAATCGAACGATAAGAGAGAAAAACTGCTGTCCTGTAAAGACACTTCAGTTTCTAGATCAGAATGAGATGTGTGTCGAAAGAGTGTCTGCCGTCAAACGGCTTCCACTGTACAGTCTGCACGTGTGTACGGGCATGGATTCTTGAATCATCTTGATTTGGTACAAATGTGGGCTTCTTGCGTGAATCCATGGAACAAAAGGCGAAAGGCCGGCCGCAGGGTAGTGAGCAATGTCTGTTTCAGTATCAAAAGAGCAGGTTTTGTCGCTGGTGTGAATGTGCACCGTGCGGTGTGCAGTACAATCGGATACCCACCATTCCTACAGCTTATTCCTCATCTTCTGGACGCTGCTTTGGATTGCCATTCCTACTTTTAGAAGCCAATCTGTAAACCAGAAAGTGTCGTTTACTTCGCGATGATATATTCCGTGTCTGTTAATATCCTGCAGGATATCCATCCTTTCTGAGATCACTAACCGCTGTGAGCTTTCCGATGAAGATACCGTTTTGGTTGTTGTATGGAACAACTGGATTAGATAAGTCGTGTAGGACAAACTGACAAACCGCCTGGCTCGAGCTTTTCAGCTCGTGGCCTCGTCGTATAAGTCCTAGTCTGGTCTTCAGTGAGACCTCTATGTGCTCGGCCCTCACATTTGTGAAGTTCTCGTAGGACACCCAATTGGGTTCAAGCTGCATTCACGTCTCACGGATCAGTAATCAGGAAGCGAGCAACAAACCAACATCGCGTCCACGTGAGCTACGTCTGACAACAGCCCAGGCCATGACTCACCTGATGGTGCACTCGTGGTAAAGAAACAGCTTCCAGAGGGTCCCGTCCAGCCAAATGATTCAGCAGAACTTGGGCAACCGTCGTCAAAATCTTTATACCCCCACTTCCGCCCAAAACAGCCCTCAGTTGACCCTTCTGTGGACATCGAGCACACAAAACTCGTCATCAGAATCATCTCCATGTTCGTCGACCCGCAGTTTGAGCGGTTAAGATGATCATTTGCTTCAGCTGGATGAATGGACTCCTGCCAGAGCAGCATGAGCTCGGCTGCCCACCTGCAGAACGATGGTCGGAGACATGGTGGACAAGGGTCTCTTGTGGGGTCTGATGAAGTTCACTCGAGCAGGCGGAAGGGCATCCGTAGTGTTGTCAGTGGGGGTGGAGAAGTCATCCATCTCATTGTTCAAGATCACGCCGGTCGACACTGACAACAGCTTGGCTCCGAACGAGTAGTTGATCGTTCCCGTCATGGACACTGCATTGCGCTCTCGGTCGACGACGCACGCATGGCTCGTCCCGTGGTCTTCCACCAGGCCCCATCTGCACGCCCGGGACGAACCTCAGTCCGGGCCAGTCCTGGAGCGACAAGAGCACGCAAACTGCAAACCAAGCCAAGCACCTGCAGTCTCACCTGCCACCATAAAACCTGGGCTCACGAGTCCTGTTGTCGTCTATGCTCATCTGCAACTCTGCTGCAAAAGCCGGTGAAAGCATGTCCTTCAGAACCGAGTTCACGTCGGCAAATGCCGGATCCGCTAAGTGCATTCTCAGTGCATATGTGTGCTTGAAAGCTTCAACTAGGCGGTGGACACCCACCGTGCCCTTCATATCACTTACGTTTCTATACGCTGCCAGGATGTTCAGAATCTGTAACACAACAAACGCTCTCGATCAGTTGGACCAGCGCTCGATCGCAGCAAACAGAAAGCTTCGACGAAATCGTGCAGCCAGCCCTCGGGCTGGAAGTAGGTGGAATTCGGGAGGGAGGAGACAAGTCGATCTCAACATCTCAACAACATGGAGAGGTTGAGAGAAGAGCATCTTACGAGTGCTAGGCCGGCACCTCCAGATGAAGGAGGGGGCATGCCCAGAATGGTGTAGCCCCAGGTGTCAGCCACCAGAGGCTGTCGGACGATGACTTTATACTTGTTGAGATCTTGCAGAGTCAGGATTCCTCCTGCAGCCTGCACGTCTCGTGCCAGCTTCCTGCCGATCGGCCCAGCGTAGAAAACACTCGGACCGTGCTTGGCAATCTGTGATAGTGTCTTGGCGAGCTGAATCCTGTAACAAAAATCTCCTGCTTGCAACAGAGTCCCGTTGGGCGCGAACACGTCTCTCAGTCCTTTGTCTGCCAGTATCCTCGCGGAATTCACCACGATTTCATTCGCCAAGTACGGCTCCACGGCGAAACCACGAGCGCAGAGCTGAATCGATGGGTGGATCAGAGACTTCCAAGGCAGTCGGCCGTACTTCTTCCACACCATATGGAGACCAGCTATCTGACCCGGCACTCCGACGGATAATCCCCCCAACGCTTTCGCGCTTCTGTTCTTCTCGTACATGTCCTGCATCCAGAGCAGGAAGCGAATCATAACATGCTGCACTCGGCTGGAGTTGCAACGCACAGAAATTGGTTCAGAATGCGTTCACGCAGTTGCTCGTCCATACAATTGGCGGTTCGTTCGTGGAGTTGATGCTGCTGAAGGGACCTTGTTGAGACGCCTGACAACTCTCGCTCAGCTGCCACAAGGTGTCGGCGAATTCCGAAGCAGAGAGCTCGAGAAAACCCTGAAGAGTAGAGACATGTAGACGTACCTCAGTGGCAAGGGAAGGCGCGGTCTCTCGCATGTCGTAAGCCTCGGCAGTGCCATCTGCCAAGCGAAGAAGCAGGAAATCGCCTCCACCAATTCCGCTGGCCCCGGGATTGACAACTCCTTGGCACAGAGCAACTGCGACAGCGGCATCGACCGCATGTCCACCTTTCTTCAAAACTCGCGCACCCAAATCCGAGCAAATTCTGTGGTCCGCAGCCACAACGGCCTCGTCTGCTTCGACCATGCGCGGCCTGTCGCCTTCAGAGGCCGCTTCACGATGCGAATTTCCGCTCACCAGCAGCAGCTCGAGTGCGAGAACGAGCACGTAAACTCTGCACTTCGGACACCGCAACATTTTCACAGTTCTGTACTTGTCTGAAGGTGCTCGACGAAAGAAATGTCGAAAGCTCAAAGCATCACAGCGACGGCCGAGCTCGTGGGCTCAGATGGCTCTCGTGTCAGAACCATCACTGAGAAATGCGATCGCGCACGCTGCAACGACGTTGACTGCTTGTTGTCGGGAATCGCTGCAGGCTGCTGTTGGCGATTCCACGCTGTCACCGGTCGACTTCTCGGGCTATCGGGCTATGGAAGGTCCACCGTCGAAGCCTACAAAACGCGGTGTCCTCGCTGTGTTCGAGTCCGGTCTTCGGACAATCTCTGGACCAGAGACGTTCGAAGCCCGACCCGCGGATAGGATCGGACCCATTGATGGTGCTACCGGTCGCGGAAGGTTCCGCGAAGCCTGCCCTTCGCTTCCCAATCTCAACGGTCGCGTTCTGGCATTCCGGCGAACTGATGGGAATCGATTCCGAATGGTCCGAGATGCTGTGCCTTCTTTCGGCCGATGGAAATTGTTGGCAGAGAGTCGTCACCTGTGCTGACAGGTGACGCTAGACTCATCGATTCCCTGCTCGATTCGCAGCGCTAGACTTCAGAGTGTGAATATTCCAGGACTTGCTCTCGAGATTCCTTTTCATATATATTTACGATGCATGGTCACGGTGGAGTGATCGATATGATCGACATTCCGTCGACTTCGAATGCGTCGATTTAGCATGCACGACGAGAGATGACAATGACGAGTTCGCGCATCGAATAGCTCGACTGCAGCTCACAATCTCTTCATTTCGGACTGTGCACTGCTCATCGCCAGGGCGATCGCATCTTGCGGAGAAAAATCCAGTCCCTTTCCATCTGAAGCAGCCCGGAGCCCGAAGAGAATTCTGGATCTGCGTTGCTGCGTGCCTGGGAAGACTCTTCGGTTACGGTGCTAGCACCTCAGATGTCAATCACACGTCGTCGTTTCGGAAGGTTGCGAATTGGCGTTCCGTCGACGACGTCTTTCATATTTGCCATCAGATTCCCCATCCTCGGCCACACTCCAGCCCAGTGTCATCGTAATCCTCCGGCAAATTACTTTCTAATATTCTTAAACCGTATTTTCTCACATCCTGCTTGACTCTCTTGACTCTTGCGGGATTTCCGATCTGCATCAAATGAGCGCTTGTCCGAGCAATTGCGTCCGGACTTCATCTACGAAATCAAGTTTTCCAAACTGCCACATGACTATTTAACGATTTCACGACCACTACCTAAAATTGGCATACTGGGCATATGAAAAGTTGTAAGTCTAGATCATACATGATAAGGGGGCTCTGCACATTAGTTATTTTTAAAATAGATGCATAATATTTTTAATTTCAAATCTCTTGAATCCCTAATGTACAAAAATTTACAAATGGTTGGACTCGTAGTTTTGTTGGCGGATTGGATTCCCCATTTCCAAATGCAAAGCTTGTTGAGAGTGACTTCTCAAAGCTTTTAACATGTCAATGATTGATTTTTCTCTAAAAATATTTCTACAATGTAAACAGTACGATATGGTGCGCGCGTTGAAACAATAAAATAGTGAGACTATGTTTTATGAGAGAATTCTTGATTCATATACATGCAAGAATCATTTGCATAGTTGTAGGTATACTCGTCGATTTGTTATCCATTACGTGAGCTTATATAGACAAAAAAGAGAGAGTCGTTTAGATAATGATGACTACACACGACCAAATATATATAGAGATTTAGCAAAGATCACAAATGATACTGTACTCTAGCATATTTTTTTGTAGCTTATCTACGTGATAGTCAAGCTATTATCACTAAGAGGAGTAGACAATCATCAACCTAGCAATCCAAGAGGTTGAGGGTGTTAATGTGGAACATAACAAGCCTATCTATAACTAAGTATGTGAGTGCACATCCGATTTGGAAGATGGCAGACATACTCAACAATGTTGAGACTTGGGAGCATGAAATTAATGTTATTGGAGAGATACAAGGGTTTACTCTGGTGGGATCTACTTGGAACCATAGAAACCATAGATTGCCTGAGTGATCACGTTGGCTGTTAGCCATTCAACCAAAAGGCCCAAATATTATATCTTACTGTCATAAGACCCAAATCTCACTGTCTGCCTTCAAATAGACTTGCCTCCAAACACAAGGCAATCCCAAATCAACTCAATGCTCGAGAAGTTCGGATGATCCATTCACTCGTAACTCTTTCTTCTTAATCTGTTCGTGATCTTCGTAGAACAGTTGCTTTCATTTCAGTTGGGTATAAAAGAATTTTCAGCTCGCTCATCATACCAAATATATATCAGAAGAGTTCATGGAGTGCATCCAACTAAGTTACCTAACTTGGGTATCAATCAAATCAGAGATAGATTCACTCGCGCATTATGTTTTCAAGAACAATGGGTTGAGAGAAATTTATTTAGATATGAAATTTTTTATGTCGAGTTGTTTTTGTGAAAAATTCTGATTGAAATTAATAAAATAAACTTTGCATAGATTTTTTTCAATGTAATATTTTATTCTATCGAATCATTCCACCATAAAATTGAATTGAGAAAGATACAATGTTTGTCTTGGATTTTTCAATTAGGCATCATGCCTAATTTCATGAAGGATTTGTGCCTAATATGGTTAGATTAGGCATATGCCTAATCTACAGAAGCCTCTACATTATCATAATCTAATTTCCACCTTTCGGGGATAGTGTAGTAATTTTGTTCGTATAAGCGTCTTTGATATCTGTTGCATATTCAGCTCTAGTTGCTGCTTCGACTGTTGGGTTAGTGAGAGAAATATTCCAGCTCTTTCGATCCCCGAGGCTGCTAGTCTAACATAGATCCAAGTGTGATGATAATGTGCTGACCTCGTTGTACAAATCCGTGTGGGTTATCAATTGGAAAAGCTCATCCCTAGTCTTTTTCATGAATGAAACGCATCATTTATCTCATCCAAAGAACACCAAGTAATGTAGCAAAGATACGGATAACTTCCCCGTCATCTTTGCGATATTCCTATCAACCCGATGAAGAATGATATCAATGTCGTTGAGACATCTTTGATAATAGTTGTTCATAGAAGACATTGAGTTGATGTCAAAGAGTAAAAAGTTGAGATTGATGATATCTGAGAGTGTGATTTCCACTCAAAAAATTCAAGAATTCAAACTTAAGTATCTCATATCTGTGACTTTAAACATGATATTATATATAAAATATATTTTTTAAAAACATATAGAGTATAATTTGAATGAGTTTGATTAGAAAATTAACATATGTTATGATTGCGATAGATGTGCAATACTGGATTAATAACCTCAAAATTATAAATTTTTTACAAAATTTATGTTTATATATATATATATATATAGCAAAAAAATTTAGTAAGTTATATTGATATAGTAAGTGATATTTTTATTTTTTTTAAACCTTATAATATTTGTTGAGAGTACAACAAGATCACAAAGCAATCAACTATAATACTTCAATATAAATTAATATTATTTATTATATCTCACTAAATATTCATTATCTAAATTCTTTAACCCAAGTTTAAATTAAATATAACTTTCATTTTCCAGATGAAACAGCTTACATCAAAGTATAAAATTAACATTGTAATTGATATAGAATTTCAACTATTTTTGAGTTGACTTCAGTCAATCACTTCAATCTTTGGACTAGATTAAAGTGAGTAAAATTCAACAAATCCGTATAAAAAATATAAACATCCAAATCATTAGTAATTGAATTTTTTTCATCATCTCTTATGATAAAAAATTAATGAAAAAGTAATAATTAGACAAAATTTAGTGGACATAATGATGATTTTTGAAAGTACCAATCATATCTAAAATATTATCATATTATCATAGTTATGAATTTTAGACAAATATTTGAGATATAGTGACCAAAAATCTCCACAAACAAACACAAAAAGATAATTGATTTTACAAGACACTTGATTCATCACAAAATTCACATAGCTAATTTATTGAAAAGGCTTAAATGTGTATTAAAGAATTCTCACTTATTTTCTTGTACGGCAAGATTTGCTAATCGCAATGTAAAAAATCATAATAAATATAATTTGAATTTTGAGTTTAATTTATGAATTGCATTAGTAAATAAAAATCTACATTTTGACTTATGTCTTTGGATTTAATATTTTATTGCCAACATGATCAACTCATGGAAAACCCAAAGAACTGTTTTTTACATATAATTATTTTTAAAATCAACCCTTTTTTACAAAGAATTATCTATTTTAGGCAAAATAAGGTGGGATCGTTCATAGGAAATGATAATTGCTTCTCCACTCTATTTATGTATTTATGTGAAAATTACAAGTATTACATTGGTTTTTTGAAATTTTTTTTTTTTAATGCTAACGTTGATCAATGCATTAAGTCGATTGAGTATACCTTCAACTTTTATCAATTCAAGTGTCTTCATTTAAAATTACATTTTTAATAAAGTGAAACCTATTTGTTGATGAATTGTCCAAAATTATCCGAAATGAACATCCACAATCTAGATTCATAATGTGGTCTAAAACTTTCAAATGAGATAAAATTGAATGTGATTTGATATGGAATTCATAGTCAACAATACACATTAATTTTATCACATAAAAATGATGAATATGCAATTCCTAAATTATCTATTAAAAGGGCTTTTAACATTTTAATATAACTAATTCCTTATTTATCACAATGTACCAACACTTGGTATTTTAAATGATATAAAACACGGAATGAGTTTAGGTGTTGAAATGACTTCCTTCAGCGCTATTTTTTCCCCTAATACCTTTTTAAATCCGAAATTTTGATTATCAAATTAGTTAATGCATTAATGTGATATTGTATCTTTGTATCAAATATTTAATATCAACTTTGAATAAATTACATGTGCTAAAAAATGAGATAAAAATTCTTCCTCAAGCTTCTCAATAATTGAAACAAAATTGTCATCATTAATTTGGTTCAAAACTAAAGGTTGTAAATGTAATATTTTGAAACTCACAACCTTCTTCAAAAAGCTTTTAATGTTTGTTATTGGAAAAAGCAGATTTAGGTCAAAATATCTAGTTCAAACTGAAGCTTTGAACTTGTTTTGACTTTTTTTTATTTAATATAATCATTACATTAATAGTAAATAGTGAAAATCATCTATTTAAATTTTCATGATAATATTCATCTTCTCACGTCAAAGTTTTAAGATTTTTTTGTTGTAAGATAATCATATAAGTACTTACTTTATTCACAACATAATATTTTTTAATGACATTTGTGCAGTTTTGTTGAAAGTATTTTCACAAGAAAAATAAAAGCATTGTTTTAAATAAAAAATTTCAAAAAATTAGAATTTCTACATCTATAATTCACTTCCAAAGAAACTATCTTCATTGAGACAAACATATTAACGGAAATATATTACTTAAGAACAAGACACCAAGGTATTTAAGAAATTATATGTTTATCATGAAAACCATAGACTTCATTGTACACAGCTGTAGTCAATTTATCATGTATACCAACAAAAGTTGCTAAAATTCATCATCTACCAAAAATATGAACATATATCACACAATAAGCACGTGATTTTCAAATCCAACAAAAATAGCTAAGAGTTAAATTCCATCTCTTTTTTTTATATATAAAAGGCAACTTATCTACAATTTCATATATTACAATGAAATCATATATCCAGTTTATATAAACACACCGGGTATATCTTGAAGATTTAATGGTCAATATTCTTAGTTATCCATCCTTCAGCAACTTTTCACTTCTATATCCTTGCAAATCTACTTTTCAAAGATTGACATAACAAGAAACCCATGGACAATGATTCCAATAAGATGCAAAGCGACAGGAATTCATCTTCGTGGACAAGGGAGTAGACAATGCAAAGCAAGTTGAAGTTGAGATATTAGCAAACCACAAGATCTTGCCCAAGGAATGAATAACGTTAACAAGAAGAATGTCTTACTCATCAACTCACGTCTGATGCGATCCAAACTGACTAGAACAACATTGTCAAGTCAAAACACAACATTAGTAGTGCTTGGCAGTTGGTTTGTGACAAGATGAAGGAAGATTTGGCAAATGACAAGGATGTTGTCTCAAAAAACAACCAATAATTACATGCACATTATTATGTTATTTTTTCGTCTTGTCGACAACCACTTGTGTCTTAGGTTGCAATAAATCTAACAGGTAAAATGCAAAATGAATCACTCTTGAGCAGACGGTGGTAGGAGTTAGCTCTCGACTAATTCTTTCTTGCTTCTTTTGAAGTAGATAAAACTTGGTAATATAAAAATAAAATACTAATCTTGATTTCATGTAATTAAATTCTATTTATGTTTGATGAAGTAGGATATATATATATATATATATATATATATGATTGTTATGGTGAGAATCTTATCATTTTAAACATGTGTTGGGTTTAATCCAAGTCTCAATAGAATACTACTATAGAAAATGATGCTCATGCTCCATGGATCTTGATGGTTAGTAAATGTATGATACATATGTATACACTATTTCCTTGAACCTGAATTTGACCCGTGATACCATGTGTGGTCTCGCTGATTTAGACCTAATCGATCACCGCACAGGGCTATGCGACACTCAGTCCTTCCTTCTTTTTGTGTTGGAGATCCCTTATGTTGAATCTCTTGATATACACCTCTTCTTAAAATTTCAACCTTGAAAGAAACTCTCATAGCATTTTACACTTCAAAATGAGCGTTGATTTACATAACTAGCTTGAAAAGTGTATAATATAACCTACATTAGAATTTTACTTGCGTGTTCAGATATATTTTTCAAGTATTTGTATGCCAGCTATTAAAATATTTCTTATTTTTCCCCACACAGTATTATCATTCGTAAGCTTTTCAATGTATCGCTCGACAATAAGTGAGATTGCAAGAATGGGCGAAAAACGTAGATTATTAAAAGGAGAAAAAAAAAAAAGAAGAGAATTTCTGGAAAATAACATCGATTCTTTTTCTTTCCTGTGAAATCAAATGAAAGCAGAAGTCAAATTACAAAAAAATTATAATATCTTAACACTCGGGAAGGTGATTTCTAAACTCTCTATATATATAAAATTAATATTCACATGGATGAAGTAGATAGTGTATAAGATATATTTGCACTATGCGATTGCAATTCCTAGTCCGTGAGACGTTTATCTTTTACGTTTTTAAGTCCCTTCATGTGAACTATTTTGAATGATAAAGTTCAAAAATATTTTGTGATAATACTCTAGACCTATTTATTTAATTGCGTAGAACTGTCGAGTGGACCTTCAAGGTCACTGAACACCAGTTGGCACACGACAAATGTCTGTAAAACCTAAACCCCAGAGACAACTCCGAAACCCGGAGTTGATTTTGTGCAGATTTCAGCTATTCTGCCTTGCGCCTGCACTCACAGGATTGTGTCCAGTTCAGAGGTTTGGTGAGCATTCCATTCCATCAGAGAAAGACGTTTCTGATATGGATTCTGTTACCCAATAGCTTTCCTTGAGAGTTCCCAGAATATGGCTCTCAGCAGTAGCGCACAACGCTGGTTTAGTGGCTGTAGAGGTTTTCGTCGTCATTTGTCATCCAATTCTCACAGTGGCGTTGCGATCGAAGAAAGGAGTGAATTGAAGCTTTGGGTGTGGGGAAAGGGTGAAGTCGGTCAATTAGGAATTGGCGATGAAGAAACTAGGAGATCTCCCGCTGCAGTCGATTCTGTGGCACTTCCGAACTCTGCTGTTCTTGCTACAACTCAAGGGTGCTTGACTGTACCTCCATCAACAGACATGATCCAGTTCACGAGAGGAAATGATCCTTCAGACAATACATCGACGAGACACGTTAGTACAGAACAGGATCGACAGGTGGGGATTGCATGTGGTCTCTTTCACTCTGGTCTTTGGACTAGTGGGAACGTTTGGCTCTGGGGTAAGGGCGGGGGTGGAAGATTGGGACTGGGCTCAGAGCAATCACAGTATTCGCCCACTCAATTGCCTGGTTTGACAGACGTGAAGAGTTTGGTCTTAGGAGGACTGCATTCTGTTGCTGTTACAAATGGAGGATCAGTATATACCTGGTATTACACGTTCCTCACGCTTGTAAATGGTACATCAACAGAAGTTTTCTAAAGTTTTCATTTAGGAAATTTTTTACATCATTGCATTTTTATCTGGATCCTTTTGTTGGCTTCTGTGTTCTTTGTTTCGTACTAGCACTTATAGATATACCTTTCTATGTGTCATTCTACGGACTTCTTTTCCAACTGTTTCGGTGTCTGATTGCATTGCTCTCTGCAAGTTATTTCAAGGATTCTGAAAATCAGTAACGGTCATCTTAGCATCTGGAGCAACTAAGCCCCCCCACGCCGTCCAGAGGATGCTAATTCAGTAGTAGAGGTTTTTCAAATAGGACTTTAGGAACTATTATGTACCGCAATGCAACCAACCATCGTTGAGCGGGGATGTTATGGTATGATAAGGGAATTTTGAATTTTTTAAAGCACGCTGTAGACTATCCATGATACCCTGTGGAATATCTGAATCACTTAACATGAATTCTTTCAAAAGTTTAGAGTTTACAGATGGGAACGCCTTTTCTTTAGAAAGCCTCCAAATGTAGACTTAGGTGACAGAGTCCTGTGGTGATGATTCATTGTTCCAACATTTCCATGTTATCGGGTACCATGTATAAATCTATTTTCTTAGATTTAAGCATGGGGAATAGGAGTGAAATTAGTCTTGTGTAGTTAATATTCGTTGGTTTCGCTTTGACAAGGTTTTCAGGGGCTTCGGAGGTTTCGGTGCTCTAGGTCATGGTAGCTACTCCAAGGAATTTTCACCGAGAAGATTAATCGGCGAGGACTGGATGGACAATGTTGTACATGTGTCGGCTGGAGGATCTCACACAGCTGCCATCACTTCGTCAGGTTGGCGGTGTCCTCCCTTCTTTGACAAGATAACATATGTTAGCTCTGTAATTGTGTACATGTATGCCTCATATCATGAAGTGTCGTTTCTCGTGTTAATGTGAAAAAATTATGGTCATTACATTAGAAATAATCAAAGTTCTTTGACGCCCCCTTGAATATTTCGCAAGTTTCCTTCTCGTTACATAAAACTTCATATATCATTCTTTCCTTAAGTTGCAGCTCAATCAGTGAACATGATATGCATACGTTGTTCATGTTCAAATTTTGATGATTTTTCTTCACGTAAGCAAACATCGACAGTGTCATAAAATTGTCCGTTACATCTTTATATTATCTTCTTACGACTTGGAGTATGTTTCATTAAGTTATATCTTCCTTCAGTTCTCATACGTTGCTCGCGTGTGTTTGGTGACATAGTTTTGGATTTGAGCTATTTGCACTTTTAGTTAATCGACGCATGTGTTTTTCTAAGCGCAATGGAAATGTTGGGAATAGTAGATTTGATGCAATAAACGAGGTGTATACATCAGTGGTTCACTCTTTGGACATGCTTTCAAACAGGTGAACTGTACACTTGGGGACGGGATGAAGGAGAGGGTCGATTGGGACATGGAAGAGCAGTTGACATGGACGAGGGAGCATTATCAACTCCTTTGAAAGTGCAAGATCTGAATGTACCAGTATCTGCTGTGGCATGTGGTGGATTTTGCACCATGTCTTTGACTCCCGATGGACAGTTGTGGAGCTGGGGAGGTAATCCACACATTTTGACCTATATAATTTTTGTTACCGTATACAACTGCATTTTATATCAAGTCACAGGCTTCAGGTATTCTCGTTTTATATTGGAGATCATCTGCATTACAGTTGATAGCTAAATGTTGCTGATTTCAAAAGTTAGCTATTAGATATCAATCGCTTTATGTTAAAGGATATACTTATGATCACAGGTAATAGCAATTATGAGCTTGGAAGAGGTGACAGACGTGATGACTGGAGGCCCAAACCGATTCCAGCTTTACAGAATACACGGATTGTTCAGGTCGCATGTGGTGGTTATCATGCGGCAGCTCTAACTGGTGCTTCATCTTTCAGACCCCTCTTGCTCTGATTGTCTGCTGTTCGGCTTTCTCAATAGTGGTTTTTGTACTCTGCCGATCAAGTGTTTCATGAATAGGAAATATCTTCCCAGGTTCTGTTTTGTAAAGCTTCATGGATATGCAGAGCGATTACTAGTATGTGAGCTGTTTGGTCTTTTACTGACCTTTTGCTAGCAAAATGAATATCAACTTTTTCTGCTTAAGGTTTTGAAAATCTTTTTCTCACACTTGCTGTGATTCATCTTTACTGAATTGTTTGTTTGCAGAAGATGGGAACGTTCTGACCTGGGGTCATGGCGGCCATGGTCAGCTTGGTCACGGGGGTCTTGAAAGCAGCAAAGTGCCGTCATTTGTTGAGAGCCTTGGAAATCAGAGAGTCGTGTCAATAGCTTGTGGTGGTGCATGGACTGCCGCTGTCACTGGTAAGGCAAATAGGAAATGTTGGCTAAACATTTTCAGATCAGAGCATCAGACTAGTTAAGTTCGATGCTCCCTTTTGTCTAGAAGGGAGCATAGTGTCTTGGATACTATCATGTGCGTTGAATGGTACTTGTTCTCGAGTGCTATCTTTTAGACACTACCAGATACAGACATGAAGAAGAAAGCCGACGTTCTTAGGACGTTTGTGAGGAAAGAGAACCTCACATGGTTTATAGAATTCTTTAATTTCCTACCATGTTTGGGAACATTCAGTCTGCTTGTATTTACTCTGTTGCTCGAAGTGACTAAATGACGACACACCCGTTGTTTCTTCCGGATGTGCAGAGTCAGGAGAGCTGTATACTTGGGGAAAAAACCGTGATAGTCAGTTGGGTATACCGGGACTAATGGATGCTCAGATGGCTCCCGCTTTGGTCGAAACTGGAGAAGAATCTAAGCAGGAGAGTATGCGAGTTATTGGAGTTTGTGCGGGATCCACGCATGGCATGTGTTTAGTGCGTGTAGGGAAGACCTGACAACAAAAGTAGTAGTGACGAAATTTGGGTTTCATGCCATCGTCTTCTGCTTAGGAAGCATCATCACTGTGGGTTCATCGGACTGTTGTAGCAGTCAAGTTCGAAGTTTTGTCGTCGTTGCAGCACATATGGAGCTGAATTCTATATTACGTCTGCTTTAGAATTCAAAATCAAATATCATATTGGAATAAAATATCAAAAAGGGTATCATGTCCTGCATGGGTGAGTGTTCAACCGATTATAGCACAAGTATTGCGTGGCCACAACCAAGTGAGAATACAACGGTATGGAGCGTGAGAATATCAATGACGCCGATGCAAAGAATCCAAACCCAGGACGAGCACGATACAAGCGTCGTCTCCTTCAAATAATGTTGACTTACAACAAGAATAATTGCGTGTTCCCTCGTCTGCTGACAGCATACTTACCTATCTTCGTGGCTACGTCGCTCCAAATAAGGAGCGGGTGGCAAGACTCAACTAGGCAGGAGGATAGGAGCATGATACGAGAGCCTGAAGGAAGATGGTTGTAACAGACACTGCCGTCGATTTACTCACCAAGAGTTACAGCACGACTACCCTCTTTCTGACGTAGTTTTGCCAGCCACGAGCGGACGGACTTGATTTGCGGTCGGCCGCAGTCCACCATCCCCGAGCCGAGTTAGAAATTGAGCTTTGAGGCCGACGAATGTAGAAGGTTGCAAGTCCGACGCTGACATAAGTTGGCGAACATTCCCTCCTTGGGCCGGCAATAATCCAAGGTCGTGAGAGAATGGGAAAGTTCTGAGCTCGCATGAGCTCGCTCGCGCTTTGCAATGAATCCGATATGACAGCTAGCCTTTACAGTAAGCGCATGTGGACAAAGCCATCGGCCCAGTGATGATTGTCCATCGCCGGTGAGATCTGAGACGGCTCGGGCTCTTGTTCTTTCCGGAGTTCGTCTTTCCAGAGGTTAGAGGCCGAGGGCAACTCATTGCTCGTCGCACAAGAGAATTTGTCGAGCCGAGGCGCACCGCATCGCATGTCAACCAGAAGTACAGAACCTCTGGGCAACGTACTCGGCGATCCGAGTCAACACGGATAAAATTCTCTTGGTCCTCTGTTTATCTATCTATCTATCTATCTATCTATCATGAGCGCTGCCTGGAATGAGATGTCTGAACATGTTAAGGATATGCTCGGACTCAAAGTGCACGTGACTCAGCAAATCCTGTTCACTGCCACCACCACCACCACCACCTCTAAATGACATTCCAAAGTAGCTTGTTCGCATGCCCACAACTCTCCCATCCGTGAGAAAGATGTTCACTGTACATGGGCGAGATGTGGCCGCACTCGCGAGTCGGATGCTGCGATTTCGAGATCCCGAGTATGGAAATTGTCGTTCCTGCCGTGTGCCTTTCAGCAGCAGCTGCTGCTGCTGCTGGACGACTATTGAATTTGTGGATGTTGGAGATTCCGCGGGCGGGTCGAGATCTGGAATCCTATCAAACCGGCCTCGTGACGAAATCTGAAGATACAGTGAGATTCCAGATGACTTTCTCTTTGGTCAGGTGGTGATACTATGGTCGGCTGGCTGGGTAGGAAAATGGAACGTGGTATCTTTGATACTTGCTCGCTCCATTCCTGGGGTCCGTGGTCCTGGGCTCACTCGCAATCAAAAGTACGGGCCATGCTTTTAATGCCATCTCCGTGTCGTTCTCATCTTTTAATCAAAAGTAAAGCAGCAGAGCAGGCCTCAAACCGCCTCCCTAGAAGCCTTTCTTGTTGGCTCTAGTATCCTCAAACCGTGGTGTCCCATCTCCTATCTCCGACGCTTGTGCACAGGATCAACTCCGTGTGCACAAGCATGTGAAAAATTCTCGTGAGTCGGTTCCGTGGGCTCGCTGTACATTGCTTCGTACGTATTTGACCTCGAAGCTGAAGGTTCTCGACCCTCTGGGATCTAGCGAGGGCTGACTACCGTTCACAGAAGATCAGAACGTCATAATGCCTGCATGGCATGTGCATTACCATGAATTTCCGCCATCACTGCGCTACGCATCGTAAGACAATGATCAATTGCATCGGAATTGGGGCCCTGGAATATCCCACATTTACCTGCTCTTTGTACAATCAGCATTTCCAGTGCCGGCTTTGCGTTCAGTATCCGTTTCGACGCGAGCGACGACCTGCTGCGTGCTTGTAGCCTCCAGTAAAAATGCGTTGCCCCTGAAGACAGCGCGTCCGGACAACAGTGCACAATGTTACATGGAGGCGTCTGTTTTGGCCGTCCATAAAATAATGGCCAGTGCTGATCAGAGTCAGTAGCTGGCTGTTCTCATCGTGCTTCGAGTAAGCACCTCTGAACGACATACTTTGTTAGCACATCAGTTCGCTTGTAAGGTGGCCAGCGTCCTTGGAGTGACTAGACGAGTGAAGAACAACCTTTCTTCTTGTTTTTTGATACGCGTGTGATTTAGATAAGAAGCTACGATAGTGTAAAAAATATAAAGAAACTGAGAACGAAGAGCATATCATGTATTAACGTGGATTTTGGTTTTGATTAGCATTTTTTAGCAATTCTATATATATATATTTATATTTATAAAATTGAACAACATTATTTTTTCATGTTCAATTGTCATCTGTACTAGTTTGTGTTGTAAAAAAAAATTGGCAAACACCGTACAAGGTGCCGAAAAGCCTGAAATAGTCTACGTATGAGTCAGGTCTCAGGTATATAGTAAATATCTAAGTTAGTGTAGATTTAGTGTCTTATGATGAACTTTAATATATCAAGAGAATAGTTATAGCGCTTGACGTTTGTTCATTCATAATTCATTCAATTCAATTCAATTTATTCGTCCATTTTATCAAAAGAATTTCAAAAGTGGTTTGAACGTGAATCTTCATACCGCCATCTTCTCCTGCGTTACATATTTCATACAAAAGTCCTTCAAAATCCCACACTTCTGGTTTGCAAATGAAATCCAACGCAAATTCCATGATTTGGTTCTTTAGTATTTCGGCAACTCGATTGCTTCATCTTGTCACGTATATCAATCACAGAATATGGCATGGATCCTTAGCTAGTTTCGACTTTTGTGTTTCGTGTTGCTATTTAGCATATAGTTGACAGATGTTTAATGGCGATACATTTTCTCTGACAACGTTCGGTACCTTGTTTTCTCGTTCGCACGTACATAGTTGGGAACAGGTTCTTTTCACCGCATGCTCCTACTTATTTGGAATGTAAACAATCAGTCTGAGAAAAGGACATATATCTCCCGTATGTGTGGAAAAGGTCTAGGTATTAGTTTAGTGGACGCTGTAATAACTGCTAGAATAGGTTGAAACTTGGGGTAAATATTCCAACCTGTCCAAGTTTATTATTATTATTATAATTATTGTGGTCCTGCAAACAACAATACATGAAAGATTCCTGGGTTTTCCGTATAAAAAACAAACGAGAAAGGCCAATGCCTGGCAAGTACAAAAGAGTACACAAAAAGGCTCGAGAATACACACCAGTCATAGATCCCACTCCATGAACAGCTGGGCACTTCGAAGTCACCTCTGAAGTCATCTTCGTAGTTCGAGCCTATGCATCTCATTTGATGGTGTAGGTTTCGAGGGTAATTTGCCAGCAGCGAAGGTGAAAGATGCAGACTATGGCAGCGATTCAAGGCACACTTGGACCACTCAAGCCATCTGCTTTTTGGGTGATAGAGGACAGGAAACGACGTAAGTTAAACAAAGCCATCGAGTGATGTGAGCGAGGTAGAAGAATCTGCTAGATCACATTTGAGCTTGCCTCAGATTCATTTGGATCGACAACCCTTTCACCAGCGATAACTCTTCCCACCATATTTTATATATTTATGTACTGTCGGCATGCACAAGTTGCCGGCATTTCGAGCACAATGGGGAGCAGAGAAGATACTCAATACCGATTATAATATGGGGCATGTTTTCTAAAACCACTTGTGACGTAGTCATCCTTCTCAGGTGACCATGACGGACACAAATGAGATTTTTTTGGATGAGAGTAGAACCATTTGGACATGCCCATGGTGCTTGTGCCGAGGTTTCACAAAGGATGAATAGACAATCTCTTTGTCCTACGTAATGCGAAAGGTACATGGCGCCCGCCCAACAAGTCAAAAGAAACCGGTTGTTCAGAAGAACTTGATTGAAAAAACAAACCACTCTACTTTTGCAAATGAAAGAAAGTGCATGCTTCCATATCAAACCGTGGCACGCAGTCACATGCTAGTGAAGGGCTCACAAGCCAGTTAGACAGAAGACATTTCACAGTGTTCTCTTTCAACTTGCTTGTTAGCAGAAAGGTACCCAGTGCAAAATCAGACAGAACAGGCACAATAAAAACAAATCTGGTTCCGCTGGTTGGGTACACACACGCGCACACACACAACTACTGTACAAGAAAGATGCGAAGCTGAACTTATTTCTCGAATTGTATGGAAAAATTTCCTTTTCGTGATGCGAGTAAGAATCTGTGTTCATCATTCCATCGCTCACAAGAAAATGTTTCTGGATTCAGGGATCCTCCACTTGGCATTGTTGGCTCTATTGACCGTGAATGTGAAATTGTCGTGAATAATGTCTGGATCCATGTCTTTGTCGTTTTGCCAACATTCTAGCCAAGCAATAACTATGCATATTTTGGACTTCCAAATTATAACACGTGTCTTGGGCCCATGCCCCTTTCCCGAGTCATGTGAAATACTTAAGTGCATCTTTTACCGAGTCAACACAAAGAGACAAAACAGTTGCAACATATGTGGAAAAGAGACATCACGGTGGAAAGAGATGGAAGAAAGACGTGTCAAGAAGATGTCTACCTTCCTCTTTCTGTCATTGCTGCCTCACTGCTGTACATCACCTGCTCAGTTCGTTGTCGTTTCCCACTCTCTTCTCCAGAAGTCGACTTTGAGTTTATGGAGATTTTGACTGTAGCTGCATTCCTTCCTGAGAATCTCATGGAGATGTTTGACTTTGATCCTACAACTTCCCAGCAGATGGTAACTGAACAATACAATCCTGGCTGTTTGACTTGCTCCAAAGTCATCCAGTGGTCGAATTCACTCATCAGAGCTTAGCCCACCAATTAGCACCGGCGTCCCAGATAGTTCTCCCAGGGACTGGTGTTTGATTAGAATGCATGATGAGGTACTTCTCTTAATTTGTGTGACAACAATAGCTTCCGTGTTGAG